CCCCCCCCTCAGGTGCGGAGCAGAGGTGTGTGCGTGCGGGGGTGAGGCCCAGGCGCATGAATACAGTGGCGCGGCAAAGACACGACAGGGGCACACGGCGGCTGGAGGGCACAGTATCCCACGGCAGCAGTGCGGTGACTGTTATCGCCGAACTCCAGCTGGTTGTGGCGGCCGTTGCGCCTCAACCGTTATGCTGGCACTGGTAGTGCTCATGTCCACCACCTGCAGAGGGGGGTTCCAAAAGTCCATTGAGCGCCGTATTTCCGGAAGCTCACGGGGGCCGTCCACCCTCCCAGCGGTGCTCTCCCACATGCCGTCTAATGTTCCGCGGTACGATCCAAGCCCCGGATCCCGATGTGCGCCACCGAGCACCTGTGCCTTGCGATCCATCACACGGTTCAATTTCATCGCCAGCTTCTGCACCACGATGTGACAGTGGTCGTTTTGTGACATGCCGGCAGACTTGGGCGGCACACGAACGTTCCAACGGTGCAGCAGCGGCTGGATGGCCTTCAGTCGCTGCTGCAACGGAAATGGGCTGAACATCATCGTTATCACAACAGCAAGGTGTCCAGCGACCCTGCTCGACGCGTCACTTTTCGACCGCTCAGTGGATCCATCAGTTGTCGACGCAACGTCGTCGTACTCCTCGTCAATATCTCTGTCAAGGCGCAGCGCGGCGAAGGTGCGGCCGGGCACAGCGTTCAGCTGGAACATCTCCACTGGCTTCGGCACACCGCGCAGTGGCACGATACCAAACGCAGTCACGTTCAGCTGCTCACGCTCCGCCGTGCTCAGTGCCTTGTACGCTGCCCGCGTCAGCAGCACCTGCCCGCCGTTCGCAACACTCTCCGTGCGTGCGGCCATGTTCGACGTGCCGCCGTAGTAGTCGTAGCCCTTCGTCACCTCATCGTGACGGATGTCGGACAGCCCGGTGTGCACGCCGACACGCACACGCAGGCCGTTCCAGTACCCCCGGTACACAGCAGCGTCGAGGCGCGCAGTCGGCGGCACGTACTCCTCATCCTCCGCCGCACGGCCCTCCTCGAACTCGTGGTACGCAGCGTCAATCACGCCAGTGCCCCAGTCGTGATGCAAGAAGCTTCGCTGTATGTCCCGCGCAAGCTGCACGGCGGCCCACGCACTCTTGCACGCAATCATGAAGGAGTCGCCGATCGTCTTCACCTCGTAGCAGCGGTAATTCGCAATCAGCGACCGGATCAGCCGGTGGTGCGTCGCCACAGCGTCAGGCATGATCTCGGGGCA